CGCCCCTCGCAGAGCCCGAGGAAAACTCAAAATTCACCTCGAAGACGACAAAAAATCGCCATCGAAATACGCCGTTCGGATGGTGGAAGGCAGGCGGGGGGCTTCGCCCCCCGCGGGTCGCCGCTGCGCGGCTTCCCCGCAAAGCCTTTGAGTCTGGAAATCGGCGCTTTTTCGTGGCGATCGTGCGACGCAGACGGAGCTATCAGATTTTAATATATATTGATTCGAGTAGGTACCATACCTTCTCGAAATAGGTATTGTTTATTCGATACTGTAAAACCATAGTAACCAAACATGTTACGCCTCATATGTTGCTGTGGTAACACCAGTCCTAGGCCAAGTAACTGCTAACAATAACTGCTCTTTAGTTATTTCACAACCTTGATCCATATACACAGCCATGTCCCATAAAACATACGATGAAAAATTTAGATCGGCACATGAACTACTTACTACCACCTTACAGACAGAACCAGTACAGGCGGATAGAAGGGAAGAGAGACTATTACTGGCGACTTTATACATACGCTACATACTGATCGCGAATAAATTGACGGTGTGCGTAGACCAAATAGTGCAACCTCAGAAGAGAATACTGATTAGGAAACTATTAGAAGCAACCCTAGGACGAATATTAGAACTAAAATCGGATCTCGTCGAGGCGGATCTTAACGAATGGACGCACTGTGGTGATGTAATGGAGAAATTAAATTTAACGCCGTTCGATATGGAATTAACAGTGCCCTCATGCTTCAGAAGAGAAAGGAGGAATGAATTACAATACAGAAAGAATGTCATTGACAGCGTTTTGGCAAAACTAGGATATATCGATAAGACCATAGAAAAGGTCCCCATGACTGAACAACAAGCGATTTTAATAATACAGTCCCACGAACGCGCCAGACAAGGCAGACTGAGGGCCCAGTTTATGAAAGAAATAAAAACGATGAAGGAGAAATCCAAGCCGGTACAGAGCGAAGAGTCGGAAGAGGTGAAGGAAAGCAAGCTCGCTCTCAATCTGTCCGCTGCAGTGAAAATTCAGAAAATCTGGCGGGGATACGCTGCTCGTAGAGCTACTCGTAGAAGAAAACTGCATGAAATGTTGCTGATCGGAATGATCCCGCCCCCGAAAACGAAGAGTGAGGAGATTGAGAAGGATTTGGAAAATCGCAGATTCAGGAAGAAGCTTCAGGAGGAGAGGCAGGTTGAATATGAGAAAGCGGTTACCGACTGTAGGGAAAAGTTAGAGAAAACTCAAAGAGGGACAGTCTTGGAGCAACTAAGTGATCAAATTAGAAGTTGGCTTCATGAGTATAAAACGCAAACTGGTAAAATTCCCGAATATACTGGATCAGAGAGAAGTGCTTCCAGATTAATGCTAAGTAGACAAGGTAATATATTTTAATTTTCACTAGACATTTTTTTATAAAAACATTTTTCTGTAAAATAATTATTTTGGCAACAGTTTTTCCAATCCATATAGTCCAATCACTGAAGGCGAAAATAAAGTAAAAGCTCCCAATGGATTGGCATGGACAGCATGGATTTTCCTGAAAATTTGCATACAAGCTCATCTGACCCCCCCACTTCAAAAGTTATATTGTCTAGATGTGTGCTTTTTTCTATTTGAGTGTGAAAACTACCCTTGTACGAACAAAATGCGAAAATCGCAGATTTACGTATTTTAAAGATTCAATTCATGTTCAAATATGTTGGATAAAGTTTCTATCATGTTTTTTAATATAATTTATGAAATTTAATTACTTTTCAACCCTTAAAAATCCCTAAAAACTAACCTTCCATGGCCAAAAAAATAAAAAAAAAGTTTTTATCAGTTTAAAATATTCTTTTGGTGCATTCACAATGTATTGCGTTTCTTTTGTTATTCACTAGAAAGCTTACGACTCATTACAAAGTTGCAACCCTTAAAAACTATCCCTTATAATAAAATAAATTATTATTGAAAGCTCGAGATGTTTTAATGGTATGCGTATGTTGAATTATAAACTTTTTATTGGTTTTCAAATGATCTATGATATATTGCAACTTTTCAGCCACCCAAAAAACCCTTATGGAAAACCTACCCCTCATAAAAAATCCTATCTCTTACAGAAAAATTTCCTAAAAATTATATGTATGATGATATAATTATTTTTTTTTAATTTTATTGAATTTATTCTTAATATCTTTTTATTAAATTTATATCCAATAAAAAAAATTATATACATTATAAATGGATACGTGTGTGTATGTATATTATTACAATACTTACTCAAATCATTTCACAAGTGCTCCAAAATACACAAAGATGATGATTTACCGGCACCGAAAATTTTACNAGAAAAATTTCCTAAAAATTATATGTATGATGATATAATTATTTTTTTTTAATTTTATTGAATTTATTCTTAATATCTTTTTATTAAATTTATATCAAATAAAAAAAAATACATTATAAATGGATACGTGTGAGTATGTTACTATTAAAATACTTACTCAAATCAGTTCACAAGTGCTCCAATATAAATTTACACAAAAAACCATTTTGTAGGGAATTTAAAGCACTTTTTAAGTTCTGTGATTTGCAGTTTTTTTGAGCCCTTCGTTTTTTAGATTTGTAAGCTAAAAGGCTCAGGAAAGGCAGTCTTGGTGCTTAGTTTTGAGCTTCTAACGGTCAAATTTTGTCCTACAAAAATTAAAAAAAAAAATAAATTGTTCAGTAAGCGAAAACCTACAATTTCTTATTGTATTAATTTTTTATAACTTTGTTAGTTTTTGAAATATTTTGAAAAAAAGGCGATTTTTAAAAAAATTTAAAAATTTTATTCAAAAGTAAATAAAAATTTTTTAAATTTAGGCTTCTAAAATCGTTTAAATTCCCAGATTCTACTGTTATTACATAAATAAGGTAAATTGCAGAAGGAATACGTTTAATTTTTTTCCGTCAAGTCGTTAATTTTAATACCGATTTTTTTTTTTTTTAAATCAAGACAATCATTTTATTTTGATTGTAACTTCATTAGTTTTCATGTTAACTACTTCTTCCACCACTCAATTTAAAGGTCTTTTCAAGAACTTTAATAGGTGTTATATAAGTTTTCCTCGAAAAACCTTTAATTTTTCCGCTACAGGACGTTGAACGTTTCGATTATAGCTATCTTCGAAATTAACTTCAACTTTTGGGAGTCATAACTCGGGTTCTATACCGTCTACAAAAATATAAAAAAGCAATCTCTTTGCTATTTAATTACCTTCATTTTTGTTTATTATCATTTTTTTTATGGTTTTTGAGATTTTTGCGAAAAATGGCTCAAAAACATGCATTTTTGGGGCTAAAAGCGAACGTGTTTAGGCGCAAATAACTCAAAAAGTATCGACTGTACAAAAAATTCTTATAGCACAATTTTTTACTTAGAATTCGTCCCTCTGTCAAATCGTGAGGTTATTTTTAATAAAAAAATTCCCACCTTCCAGAAGGGGTGGTATCCACCCCTAGGGTAAAAGCACACATAGGCACAATATAACTTTTGTTTCTTGGACTATTCCCTAGCCAGAGTTCAAATTTCACGTCAATCCATTCCATCCGAAAAAATTGGTAGCCAAAATGCTTCAGTAAATGGACTAGTATGCAGAAAACCTAGTAATATATATATTTTTTTTAACGTTAATCAATGAAAATGTGTAGAATCATTGTGCTACAAAAACCTTACCCACCCTTATAAGCATCTCAATGTAAATGTGGTGCACATATCATATCTTTAGGTACTGACAGTGAATTAAGTAAATCTACACAAGGATCTTCAAAGGAATCAAAAACAAAGAAAGAAAAAACTACGAAATCAGTGAAAGACAGTAAATCAAACGAGGAAGAGGAAGATCTTGCTTCCAAAGCGATGGTATCTACATTCGTCCCTGAATTAAATTTGAGAAAGGAAGAATACGAAGAAGTTTGGAAAAATAGAGACGAGTCTGAAAATCCGCGACAGTTTCACGATAAGCAATTGATAGAACAAGATCAAATGACTGACATGGAATCTGAGTTAAGGAAAGTGGTTGACGAGATGATGGTGACTGAACTTGAGTTACTTCAGGTAATAATTTAGATAGGTTACGTTCTTCTTGAACAATTTCCGGGCTAGTTGCCACATCTTTGGTTCATTACTTAGGTCGAAAGCTTTGGATTTTTGAAATTTGTAATATGCTTTAGTATTTTTTTCGTCTAAGGCTAAGGACTTTATTAATAATGACACCAAAAAACTACTTGTACTGGTCACATATTTTTAAGCTGACTGCGATTATTATGTACAGAAGTCTTTAATTGAAATGCGACTCACAATTAGGCACTTTTATTTATAATATCGATTCACGATATTTCTAGGAAGCATTTGATAAGGACAGAGGACATAAGACTAAGAGAAAATCTAGCAAAAAAGCTAGAAGGGCCGGAAAGAAAAGTAAGAAGAAGAAAGAGAAAGACCTGACTCCAGATCGTACTACAGAATCACTCTTTGAAGAATTAGTTGCAAATGGAATAATAAAACGGTTAGTATCTCTAAATTGGCTTTTACTCTTACTATTGTTTTATCGATGATTTGCTAGGATATAGTCTATCTTAAAGACGAAAGAAAAAGGAAAAACTGTAATATATGAGTATATTTTTTTTTTCGATTTACTATGTAGTGTTGATTTGAATAAACTCTATCAATAACTATTTATTTTACAATTACCATTTTTGTATTGTCTCATGCCTAAATAGTTGACATCAAAGAGCACAATTATGGCATCATTTGATGAGAAATTTTAGGAAAATTTTTAGAGTTGGGTAATTTGAATTAGTTTATCTCTTACTTAGAATGTCTCAAGAACTTTTATCTATAATTTCTGCCATTTATAATAAATATTCTACATGAATCATTCTATATATCAGTCAGTTATATTATGCAACAAAATTTGTTCAAATAAAGCCATTATCTATCTAATTAAGAACAGTAAATGTTTATTAATTAATTTAGCAACTAATAACAGTTTTCATATTATATGACCTTTCATGCTGTCTGTAGAAAGAAAAGGAATGTGAACTAATGTCAATGTCAACATTTCTGTTATAGGTATTTTTCCCTATACAGTAATGTTTTACTCAAGTTCAACATGAATATTTTTCTATATATTCTCTATCATATGTATGTCCGCTGTTAGGGTGAATAAGAGGAAACACTTTTTTATTTTACATTTTACGGAAAAAGGCACACTTGAAGTTTTGCTTGAATTTAAAATGGGGTTGTCATGGTGAAACTTAACATTTCATGTACGGGGTGTCCAGAAAATAAAAAATCTGAAAATATCAGGAGAGTAAGAAGTAAAGGTATTTCTAATACTTCTGAAAAGTGTCACTAGGAAAAGTTGTTCCAAATTAAAAGATACGACATAATTCCAATTTGTGGGAAAGTTGGCCTATGTTGATTATTTACAAATATTTACTTCCGCGGTGAGGGCGAATAAGAGGACACTTTTTTATTTCAAATAGATGGTTGTGAATAAAATAATATTTTATTCTTCACTTGTGTCACTGTACTTCGTTAAAAACCCCTAACAGTAATCAATTTATCGGATGAATGCTAACTGTACAGCTAAAAATATATCTAATACAGTGCTACGGTAAGGGTGATAACAGTTATCGCCAAGTAATTCAAGATTTCAATGAAAAATACCCAGGTGTGCATGTGGCGCAGTCAGATTTATATAAAGTAGTAAAATTTTTTGAGAACCGAGTCACAGGCAAAAACACCTAGGAAAAAGAAAAACTATGATGATTTAGATGCCGTTACTGTGCTAGTTCTACTGCCAGTGAATGAATATCCAACCATGTCACTGAGAAGACGCTCAGAATTCTTAGGAATTGTGATACATACAAAAAATGTTGAAACAAAATAAAATTCTGACATACAAGCCAATTTACAATCACACTTTAGAGGAAGACGATGAAGCGAAACGTCTCGATTTTTGTTTGTGGATCGGAGGTATGGATCGAAATTTCCATCAACAGATTATGTTTTGCACTCTTTATACAAATGGAATTGTTGCTTCACAACATTTGCGATATTAGAGTACAGAGAACCCTCATAAATGTTTGGTGTGTGGTATTCTTTTATGGAATAATAGGACCATACTTCTTTGAAGATACATGCAATGGAAACAGCTACTTGAATATGCTCCAAACATTTTTACTAATGAATTGGACAATTTACCACTGGCCTATCGAAATTGTTTTTATTTTCAGCATGACGATTGTCCGGCTGTAACTGTTAGGACCTGGTTACAGAACACATTTCCCAATCGCTGGATTGGCCGGCATGCTCCATAGCAATGGCCCCCGCGATGTCCAGACTTAACAATTCTGCACAACTTTTACTTGTGGGACCGACTCAAACAGATTGTGTATAGCAGGCCATTGGAAAATAACATCGAGCAGCTAAAACAACGAATTAAAGATGATGTACAGGGTGGGCAAATAAGCGAGGTAAGCGGCTGTATCTCAGAAACTAGTGATCGTAGAGAGCTACGGTAAAAAATTTTATAGGTAAAGTGGGCAAGGGAAAATGCTGGAAATTATTTTCAAGTTTCCAAGATGGCCGCCAGTGGGCGTTTCCACCATCTTGAATTACATAAAGTTACGTTTCTCGCGATTTTCCCCAATGAATGTAACAAAAAAGTATTTGCGTTTTAATGTTAACTTAAAGTCGAACATTTTTTGTAAAAACAATTTTTCTCTATCTTTCGAAATAAAGTGGTGGGGGGTATTTGAATGTTGTTTTAAATAAATGCCTGTAACTTCGAAACGGCTTAATGGATTTGGATAAATTTGGTATCATTGAAAAGAGCATTTCTTGGGCTTTTAGGTTTCTCGTAATCATGACAGTTGCGACCTACACGGCCGCCGATAGAGGGCGTTATTCGATATTATAACCAAAATATTGGATTTTCTCAAAAAATTTAAATGCGATGATATGACTTTTTTTAGACTAGAAAATAGACAAATGACCAACCAATAAGCCTGCGCAAACCGCATCTTAATATCTTTTTCCTAACTCAAATTATTAAAAAAAAATACTAAACCAGGAAAATTCATATATCCCCATTTAAAAATGCATCGGTTGCTTTCGATAAGAAGGCAAGTAGTAGGCCATGGAAATAAAAGACAAACTCCTCTCTAAAATATTCACAAGAAATGTCAGTTTATTTAGTGCTGTGATTTTAAGTCGCACGTTTTCGTATTTATAAGCGATTTTCCTTTTAAATAAAGTTGTGGTCCTGAAAAGGACCGATTTTGAAAAAAGATTAATGCCTTCTGTGTTCAAATTGCCTTCCGTCATATTCCACACATTGTTCCAGTCTTTCTTGAGTCGACAGAACCGCAGCCTCGATTTCTACCGCTGATAGTTGACGAATTGAGTTTCGAATTCTGTTTTCCATATCCATTCGTGTTGTTGGTGGAGTTTGAAAAACAATGTCTTTTAAGCGTCCCCACAAGTAAAAATCAAGACATGTCAAGTCCGGAGATCTTGCCGGCCAAGGAAATAGGCTTCCCCTTCCTATCCAGCGTTCTCGAAAGGTCCCGTTAATATGGTTTCGGACATTAATTGAATAATGTGCCGGACAACCATCTAATTGCAGAAACATAGTTCTCCTAGTTTCGAGTGGCACATCTTCCAACAAAATTGGCAAGTCGTTGATCAAAAACTCTAAGAAGCGGTTACCAGTTAAAGCTTGATCAAAAAAATAAGGTCCAATAATTCTGTCCCCAATGATACCGCACCACACATTTAGGCTCCAGCGTCCCTGGTGCTGCACTTCTCTTAACCAATGCGGATTTTCAGCGGACCAATAATGCATATTATGACGGTTTACTCTACCATCACTACTAAAGGTAGCCTCGTCGGTCCAGAGAATTTCCGTTAAGAAATTTCTGTTTTCCTCAAGCATGCCTAGCATCCATTGACAATAATTTAATCTATTATCGAAATCTTGTTCATTTAGCGCCTGGTGCAAAACTATGTGGTAAGGATGTAATCTAAAAGTAAAAAACAACATATGCGTAAAAATAATATAATCAGAATAACACTGAATTGTGTATTTGAGAGTATGTGCTAAGATACTTGGAATAAGATAAAATTATTTACCTATAATCTTTCAAAATATTTCTAACAGTTGTTCGTGCTATTCCCAAGTCTAGAGACAATGTTCTAGTTCCTACATGTCTATCAAATTCTATGTAAGCCAAGACATTGATAATGTTTTCTTCGGTCCTTCCATTGCGACGCCTGCGACGTTTAGGACGACGAAAACTTCCAGTATCGCGTAATCGCTGTACCAAGCGCGGAAACATTCTTCTCCCGTAATGACGGCGATCTGGATACCGTGCCGCGTACTGTCTTGCAGCTATAGCTGCATTTTGAAAACACTCGAAATAAATCGCAATCATGTCAACGGCTTCATTATTTGTGAGAGGCATTTTGATTAAAAAGTACTCAAATTATACGCAATCAACAATATTAGGCTGCGTGTGACAAAAGTTTGACGTTACTTGGCAATATTTTTGTTAGGCGATTGTCGTGTCCATGGCCTACTACTTGCCTTCTTATCGAAAGCAACCGATGCATTTTTAAATGGGGATATATGAATTTTCCTGGTTTAGTATTTTTTTTAATAATTTGAGTTAGGAAAAAGATATTAAGATGCGGTTTGCGCAGGCTTATTGGTTGGTCATTTGTCTATTTTCTAGTCTAAAAAAAGTCATATCATCGCATTTAAATTTTTTGAGAAAATCCAATATTTTGGTTATAATATCGAATAACGCCCTCTATCGGCGGCCGTGTAGGTCGCAACTGTCATGATTACGAGAAACCTAAAAGCCCAAGAAATGCTCTTTTCAATGATACCAAATTTATCCAAATCCATTAAGCCGTTTCGAAGTTACAGGCATTTATTTAAAACAACATTCAAATACCCCCCACCACTTTATTTCGAAAGATAGAGAAAAATTGTTTTTACAAAAAATATTCGACTTTAAGTTAACATTAAAACGCAAATACTTTTTTGTTACATTCATTGGGGAAAATCGCGAGAAACGTAACTTTATGTAATTCAAGATGGTGGAAACGCCCACTGGCGGCCATCTTGGAAACTTGAAAATAATTTCCAGCATTTTCCCTTGCCCACTTTACCCATAAAATTTTTTACCGTAGCTCTCTACGATCATTAGTTTCTGAGATACAGCCGCTTACCTCGCTTATTTGCCCACCCTGTACAGTCCATATCTTTAGAAGAGATTAGCCGCAGCTACAATGAATTCCTTACACGCCTTCAAATTTGTGTGAACGTCGGTGGAGGGAGTGTTCGAATAATGTATTATTATTCATAATTTTTTTTCCAAATTTATTATGTTCTGTAAAAAATTAAGCCAATTTTGTGTGCGAATTGTTTAATTTAAAAACCCAAGTAATTTTTTTCCACGACGTTTGCAAAATATCACTTTTCAGAAATATTAAAAATAAAGATAGTTTGATTACTCTCGTGACATTTTCAGCTGATGATGATTAAAATGATTCCGTAGAACGTAAAATAAAAATGTTTTTCCTCTTATTCACCCTAACCGCGGACATACCGTATTTTTTATGCCATGTAACATTTTCTATTAATTTGTGACGTAGAATTCGCCATTAATCTTTTCGATATTAAAAATGTCTTAAACCTTACAGATGCCCCGAAACTTATTTAAGCGATTTTCAAGGAGAAAGGTCGTACTTCTATCCTGCAGCACACAACGTTGGCAAAGATCCACCAGTAGCCTTGGGCGATATAAGACAAGTGGTGAACGAATATTGCATTTTGCCATTGCTCACACCCCATCTTCACCAATCCACACCCCACGTGAAATCTGTCTTGCTCGCTGGTCCAAAAGGAAGCGGAAAGGACATGCTAGTTCACGCGGTTTGCACGGAAGCAGGAGCTATGCTGTTTGATCTAACTCCTGCTAATATAGTTGGGAAGTATCCCGGGAAGTCTGGTTTAATTATGCTTATCCACTTGGTGGTTAAGGTATCCAAGTTGCTACAACCTGCTGTTATTTACATGGATTCAGCGGAAAGGCCGTTTGTAAAGAAAATACCCAAAACTGATAAATCAGATCCAAAAAGATTAAAAAAGGATTTGCCGAAAATGGTTAAAAGTAAGTTATATCTCACTTCTCAAAGAGTTTACAGAGAAAATGGTTTCATTCTATAAATGGATGGTAATCTAGACACGCAATGTTAATTTATTTATTTTTTTACTTGATCAATTATGGTGAAATAAATTGAGTATTTATTACAACAGAAAGCAAGACATAGCAACTCGAGTAACAATAATACTAGTTATTTATGCGTTTGTTTTGAAATTAACAATTCACATAAACGTGTCAAAAATTAAGGAGAATAATTTCTTTTAAAAACCTTTTTTAGGTATAAGATATTGAAATTTTCAAAAAAATATAATTAAATATTTTCGGAATAAAATAAGATGATGAAACGAAATTTTGTGCTTAATCTAGTGTCGAAGGTATGAAGTATGATGGATATTTTTTCCTCATTGAAAAAAAAAAAAATGTGTCCTTTTTGAAATGTTAAACTTATTTTGAGCAAAAATGATCGTAATGCATAGCTTTCACTATTTTGGTATAAATCAGTAATAATTAAAGATAATACTTTCAGAAAAATGTTAAATACAGGGTGTTTATGAACTTATGTCAAAAATTTAAAGAGGTGAAAAAGGAGCAAAAATTAGTTAACTGATGCCACAAACTTGTATCGGAAGTTTAAGGTCATAGAGAAAAAAGATAATTAAAAATGTGTTTAAAACTGTTTTGGAACTGTTGAAATATGTACAGGGATAGCCAGAAGTACGGAATAAAATTCATATCTTTTGAATGAGTTAATTTTTTTTAAACGCCGAAACACGTTAACTGATTTTGATTTTTTCCCATCTTTGGGTTATATAATAATTAATTTTTCTTCAACCCCCTAACCCCCAGCTACTTTTTTTTCAATTGGAAACATAAGGCATAAGGGGGCTCGTTGAAAAGCTTATAGAAAACGGAATCCAGCCATACCAAATAAACAAGTTTTTTTTTCATTTAGAAATTGAAACTAGATAATTTACAAAAATAAACTCAATGTCGCAAATGATGAAAATGTCGTCCATTCACTATTTGGCAGCATCTCCGCCCTAATCTTGATCTTTAAATTCTCAATATTATCCGGCCTGTCCTGGTAGACTCTTTCTTTCAAATATCCCCAAAGAAAATAATCCAGGGGTGTTAAGTCGGCGGATTTTGGCAGCCATTCAACTGTGCCCCGTCTACCAATCCAGCGATTTGGAAACATTTCATCTAAGTATCTTCGAACATCAATACCAAAATGTGGGGGAGCGCCATCTTGTTGGAACCAAATTCTTTCATTCGGTATATCTGGATCAATTTCATGAGGGAAAATCACAGCTAGAGCAGGTATCAGGTCAAATGTTAGGAAATCCAGGTAGCGTGCGGCAGTAAGATTTTCTTCAAAAAAGAATGGGCCCAAGATTCTGTTGTTGATGATACCTGCCCATACATTAACTTTTTGTGGATGCTGCGTATGCGATTCGCATGTCCAGTGTGGATTTTCCTGGGACCAAAAGCGATAGTTGTGCCTGTTAACCACTCCATTTAAATAAAACGTAGCTTCATCCGAAAAAAGTACGTCTCGTTGAAAACCATTATTGTCGTCACACCGTCTCATCATTTCCTCACAAAATTGTAATCGCCTATCATAATCGTCTTCCAAAAGCTCTTGGACAAGACATACCTTATAGGGGTGGTATTTCTCTTGTTTCAGAAACATTCGAATTGCAGTTCGAGAAGCATCGTGATTGCGGGCCAATGAAACAGTTGAAGTATGAGGATTTTCAACAAGTTCTAATGCAATGTCTAATTTCTTTTCTTCATTCAAAGCACGTGCCCGTCCAGTTTTGGGCAAAGTCTGTACTGTACCGTGTTCCTCAAATTTGTGAAATATTTTACTAACTGTCCCTTGCGAGATTTGGTTTTCGGGATATTTCGTATTAAATAGATCGCGCACTTCAGCCTGACTTCTTATTTTGTCTCCACATCCAAGCAATATCAAGATTTCGATACGTTGCCTTTCCAACAATACCATTGCAATTCAGTAAATAACTTGATTTTGACACAATAGTAACGTTTCAAATACCAGTTTACATCTAAAGCGAAAAATTAACCAGAAAGCCTGGCAAGTGGTATCAAAAAAACGCACATAAAAAATATATCTTTTTTGCGTTAGCAGTGATAGGCACAGTTTCGAATTCTTTATTTTATTCTGTGCAAATTCATGGAGGATAACACCTGAAGATAATGCACCTAAATAAAATTTAATTAAGTAGGTGTTTTATACAACCCTAAAAACCTTGCTATTGAAAAAATAAAACTTGTTTATTTGGTATGGCTGGATTCGGTTTTCTATAAGCGTTTCAACGAGCCCCCTAATGTCTTATGTTTCCATTTGAAAAAAAAGTAGGGGTAGCTGGGGGTTAGAGGGTTGAAGAAAAATTAATTATTATATAACCGAGAGATGGGAAAAAATCAAAATCAGTTACCGTGTTTCGGCGTTTTAAAAAAAATTAATTCATTCAAAAGATATGAATTTTATTCCGTACTTCTGGCCATCCCTGTATATTTTATCGCGGCGAGTACTTACAAAAAATTCTGTAACACTTTTTACGAATTTGTAGGTTTCTTATGAAGCCGGACTGTATTCGAAAGTCAGTTTCTAATACATTGTTGTAGTGATTGCTGTGCTGTTTTTCGAGAGTACATTTAATAGCCGTATTTNTATCGCGGCGAGTACTTACAAAAAATTCTGTAACACTTTTTACGAATTTGTAGGTTTCTTATGAAGCCGGACTGTATTCGAAAGTCAGTTTCTAATACATTGTTGTAGTGATTGCTGTGCTGTTTTTCGAGAGTACATTTAATAGCCGTATTTCCAAGTTTTACCCATTTCATATTCAACATGCAACAAATTCTCAATTTTTTAATTGAAATGGTGTACGTAACGTCCACAACAGTTTACAGTGAACATGTGGGCCGGTATCGTTAGTGACACTTTAATAGGACCTTTTGAATTGCCCAGACGGTGCTTTATATCTAGATTTTTGCAAAATCGTTAGCTGGAGTTATTGGAAGACGTGCCATTAAATGTTCGGCAAAATATGTGGTTACTGCATGACGGAGCCCCTCACTTTTTTCGGAGAGTGCACGATTTTCTACGTGAGAGTGTGTGACTTTTCCCGATTTCTGGATAGGCCGCGGCAGCCTAGTTAGATGGCTTTCCCAGTCCCCGGACCTCACCCCTTTAGACTTCTTTTTGTGGGGATATGTGAAAAGTGTTGTGTATTCCACGGAAGCTCGTGACATCGACCAACTGTGATATTGTATTGCCAAAGCTTGTAATACGATTCGAGAGGACGTGGCAATGTTGCAACGCGTGCGAGCAAATTGGATACGTCGCGCTGAAGCTTGTGTGCAAGCAAATGGTGGGTACATCGAACATCCTCTATGAAAATCAGCAATTCTCAAAAGGCGGTTCCTTGTAATGTTGAGGTAAGTCAGATTTTAAAAATACATTTTACTCAACACAAATCCGTGTATTTACCTCATTTTGACATAACGAACATCTGGCAAAAATATTTGACATATGTTCATTAACACCCTGTATATTATATTACAAAATTTGTCCGGAACACGCTCTTCAATACATTTTCTCACATGTTCACTTACTCTATAATTTTAAAGACGAAAACTTCATACAAATCGTTAAATAAGAAAACATTCTTATATTTGAACAAGGAAAACACTCCATTTTTGATACGTTGGTTGTTGTGTAGCGCCCTGTATAATTGTAAATTTGTGTAAACGCTTTATTTTCACAAAGTGTAAATTTTTCTAAAACTGTAACATATTTACATGGATGTACCTCTGACCTTAAGAAACACATCATATAAGTTTGATTTATCAAATTCCGTCGCAAAAACTAAACTTTTTTATAATTTATTTCATAATTTTATACCCGCCGGTGGACAAATTAGTGTGTACTCAAACAACAGCATACATTAGCAGCAAGCTCATACACACCTGGGTGCTACGGTATGCATTGTTGTCAAAACTCGTAACCGACATTTTCTTATTCAGTACTTCCTCTGTCGGAATAGTCCATCAATTCTCGTTTTCTTGCAACAGCACCGTTTTCTCCTGACAGAAAGTATAGATCCATATCAACTCTTTCTGTATTCGTATACATGCTTTTCTACAATATCAGACAGGACCCTGAATGTCACACACTGTCAATAATTACCGAAATAAATAGCTTACACTACACAGACATTTCACTAAATATTTTACTATAAATTTAAACCAAAATGAAATACCGCACTGCAATATACAAACTATAAAAAAATCGTGATTACACAGCTATAGCTATAGCTAATTGAAAACAATTGTTAATGGAATTTCAAAATTTTAAGTTCAAATTGATCATGGCACATTTACTTTTGATTATTTAATGTATGACTGTAGATACAGATTCCTTAATTATAAACGATAAATTTATTTAAATAGCCTTTAATTTATGTAAATTCGGTAGAAAATGTAACTCATTTAAATTAATGAATGTTTCTAATAATTAGATTTGATTTACAGATTTCGCTACTGAAGATAGAGTCATTTTGATAGGTGTATCAAATTGCCCTTGGGACAGCGACCAGAAATTACTGCAACAAGTATACCAGAAATTCCTGTTTATTCCCAGATCTAATTATAGTTCAAGATTCAGCATTTGGACACACCTCTTGGGTCAATATATGGCTGTTGGGTGGCAATTTGACACGGGGGTAATGACTAAAATATCAGATGGATATTCAGTAGGTAGGATTATAAACAGCTTAACTGCTTCCAAAACTTAACTAAGAAAATAGAACATAAATCTTATATTTTAAGTCCTAAATCAAATTAGGTGTCACACAACATATCTTCTACTTAAAAAAATTAACACGTTGATATTAGTGGTAAAAGTCTTAATTCAATAAAAAATCCATCTAATCTTCTTTGTCTTTTTTCGCATATAAAAAGTATAATACAAGAAAGTATTATAACCCTCAGTTTTCATTGTGGTCAACATTTGATTGACTATCTTTCAGTTAGTCCCGTAATCTCTTGTTTTTATGTATATATCTTCACAAAATAGTCTGTTGTCGTCTTTCAATAAAATTAGTGTTTCGTTGTCCCGACATTTGTGATCCACGTTGGATGCTATGTCTACCTTATTTGACCCCTGTTAGACATATTTGGCACACTTAGAGAACCATGTCGTGGAACAGGATTTTGTCCAACTGAATTCTCCATCAGAGGCGTGTAGTTGCCTTGAAATAGGATAAAACAAAACAATCTAATTTATTTGTTTCCAGTGAGTAGGACTTCTATGAGTATTTATTAATTTTTTAGAAGCTTCGAAGAGCTTATTGTTTCCCTTGGGACAATGCTGGGTTAATGGGGCGCTAGAACTGAGGTCTAAGCTAGAAGCAAGGCGCTCGCAAAATTTTATGAAAATTTTTTAACAATGTTCTGAATTATTACAAATTTAAGTGGCTGTTACTGAATAACAAGGCATAGGGGTAGATGTACGATCGCAGTTCTTAATGGGTACGCCTTAGGTTGTTTCCGAAATTCGAAACTAAGGTGATTTTTTTCTTTCGCAAATCGTCGTTTGAGGCTGCTCTACCGACAACATCGGCCTCTGGCGGCGTTGTGTGCTGCGGTTTCAATATTTTGGGGCGGCTGGAAGCTTCTTAGTGACTTTCGGTGAAAATTTTGAAAACATAGCTGAAAACGTTAATTTCCGCTCCGTGCTTTCTGTGACTCGTGGAAGGTAGTTTGGGTCGCCTAGGACACGTTTCTGTTCTTTAGTCGGGATTCGCCCTACATAGAGTAGTTAGAGACAGCTACGTGGTTCTGATTGAAAATCTGAAATCCGCTCGAAATCTGAAATACGACACTATGGACACTAGATCGAACTGTCTAGTTGGCCACCCCATGTGCTGTATTATTTTGTAGAAATTGATGAGGAGCATCAACATCAACGTCTACGTTAAAAAAGCTTCTTTCCTTCTACTCTTAATCTACTTAACTGAAATATTTCTCAAAGTTTCCAAAAACTGGTGGATACATTTTTAATAATAAAACATTGTTATGATTGTGAAAGGGGTGAACACATTTCAAACAACGTCAATTAACTTTTTTTTAATTTTTGGTGCCAATTTCATAATGAGAAGAATATTTCGTTAAAATATAAAAAAGCTTTCAGGTAAATTATAAGGTCAATTTAATTTCTTTGAATTCTAAAATAGCACTAAGGTGGCCATATCCCTGGCCGAGAAATAGTCAAATTTCTGGCGTTTTTAGGTACTGAAATCTTGAAAAGTAAAACGTGTAGAGCAAAAGTAAGCACAAAAATAAAATCCTTGATGTTCTGTTTATTCATTGTTACTATTTAAATTTACTCAAATAAAATAATAACTAAAAAATGCGTTTGTTAAACATGCGTTTACTATTATCCTAACCCCACATTTTAAGAATAATTTTCACGTACTTATAAATAAAAGTAAACAATTTTATATGTAGGATTAAGCAAGTAAATGTTATAAGAATATTTACATGTGAAGTTATATATATAAAAAAGTTAGTATTTTCGTAGATTTCAGTACCTAAAACCTTGAGGGTTTGATCGTTTTTTGCACGTGTTTATTCGTTTTACTGCGGCGTCTTTGAAAATACTCAGGTGGCATGACATAACATTCCTATTATTTGATAAGCTTTAGATTATTCAGTTATTAAATGGTTCAAATTATTTGCCTTTGTGGAAAACACTATTTAAAGAATACGGCGCCCTTATCTTTATTATGAAATTGTTCCTTATTGTTTGTTCTATTGCTGGAAATAAAACATACAGATTTTATAAAACTAAATACCATTGCAAGTAAAACAGCAAATTTAATTTTAGTAAATATGTAATTCCAGGAAACTGAACAAGCGTATGGATGTACCGAGCAATAAAAATGTTTAATAGATTTATGTAAAGTTATCCATTCATTTCATCCATTTACCTTGTAATTTATTTTATATTTAGATTGCGGTTTTTAACAAACTCAATAATACACGTTTATTTACTTAAAAATGAGCAGGTATACAGATATTATGGTATTTAAATAATTTTTAATTTTAAGTTTTAAGTTAATGAAATCATATTTTTAATTGCTATCATAAATATAGTTATTATTTTATATAAAAAATAAAATTGTTCTTCTCTTCTAAAATGTAGGTAATAACTAAAATACAGTGTGTTCCGCATAAGAACCGACACAGGGCAGGTGCATATAGGGGTGTCCAAAATATTGTAATTTAACCAAACTTACCTATATACAAAGTTGCACCTCTGAGAAGTTATTAGCCCCCAATGTGGGGCCTTAAATTTCGAAAAAAATTAATATCTCTGCAACACTTTACCGCAGAAGAACCAAATTTGATGACATGATTTAGGTTTATTACTGGTCTTCTTTGACTATGATTTAAAGTTAATTGAAGCACTACAAGGTGTTCATTGGGGATGACTCACCCCTAAAATTGTACGGAACTTTTTTTTCATTGACCGAATTGAAAAATAATAATGTTAATTCACAGCAGAATTTAATTTAAAATCTTTTCTGCTATTGTTAAATATCAAAAAACTTTAACAATTAACAAACAATTGCCTCTGATTATGGCTGAAATTGGCTGGAAACTTTACATTTAGCGAACAAGTTGATATGCTACTTGTGCTGGGTTTCTGCGAATGAAACTGTAGAAGTGTGGAAGAATTATTGAAATAAAATAATTTTATTACATGACAAGTTTGAAAGATACCTACATTCATTGCCTACTACTGACTGATTATTTTCTAATGAACACTGTAAATATCTTGTGTCAGTTAATACGGTTTTTCTTTAAAACCATAAAATTTTTTGATATTTAACATTAGTAGAAAAGATTTTAAAATAAATTCTGCTATGAATTAACATTATTATTTTTCAATTCGGTCAATGAAAAAAAAGTTCCGTACAATTTTAGAGGTGAGTCATCCCCAATAAACACCTTGTAGTGCTTCAATTAACTTTAAATGACAGTAATAAATCTAATAGACTAGGCGGTATCTGTTTTGCTTTGGGTGAATCGTATATCCACGGAGATTTTTGGCTTTGTGGCTTTCAAATATCAGTAGAAATTAAAATTTTTCTATGCACATAAAACAAAACGTGGGCTTAAATTTTGGCAGCACAATATGTTAAAAAAAAATCGAAAAATGTATTTTTCTTCCTATTTAATTATGTATCTTTTCAAGACTTGATTTTAGGCGAAAATGGAAGAGGAAAAAAATGTTTGTAATTAAATTTTACAAAATATGACTATTTACAAATCGAATGAATCATGATTATTATTGTAAAAATCGAAAAAATCGCCAAAATGGGGTTAAAAAAACATTTTTTTGGGTTCTTTAAGTTGGGTATAGAACCTCCATACTTAGCTCAAGAAAAGTTCATCTTATGTAGAATCATCACACCAAATTTCATCAAAATCGGTTCGATAGATTTTGCATAATAATTTTGCAATCCAGATTTTTAAAAAAAAATTCAAATTTTCAAAATTTTGCACAGCAAAAACCAAGGCCCTTAGATACTTGGAAAATTTAATCACATATAGAAGGGCTCTCAAGCTTTCAAACGTTTTTTGAAAAATTCGATTCGGTCATTTAGGAGAACTCTGGCTCCTGTTTAAACATTGGTCGAATTTTTGTACTTATAAACAATTAGAATAACTGAATATTCAATCAAATCAAATTTTTTAAAGCAGGTTTTAAAAGTTATTGGAAAGATGCTTCTTTAAAAAAAAACAGATCGATTGGTCAATTAGTTACGTAGTCATAGCCGATCAAAGTTAAGCGTCATTTACACTAAATGTACAGGGACATCTATTCGAAAAATACATTTGGTGTTCCGAGTACTTACCAGGTCTAAGTTTGCAATACTTTTCTTCATTGGCAATCTACTTTAAAACGCGTGTAAAGTTATTTATGCAAGCGAGAAATTCATGAAAATCGTGCGGGCGGTGGTGGCAGAGAGCGCGGCCGCTTCAGCCTGCTCAAAATTGAATCGGCGAGTTCAAAACCGCGACGCGCCTAAAAATTTTTAATATCTCAGCTTCTAGAGGTCCGATTTTGATTATTTTTTTTTAAATCGATGTCTCGCGATTTAAAAAAAAACAATTAGCGTATTTCAAATCACTATCGTTAATAATTATTGGTTTTTCAACAGTCCGATAATTATTTATCTTTAAACTTACTTTAATTATCAACTTTATTTTTTTTATTGTATCAAAGATAAGTGCATAAACTTATATACTGTTTATCAAAGATCAAAAACAAATTTATTTAAATATTCTAAAATTCTTTAAACAACAATTATTTTCAAAATATGTCGAAAATTAGTAATTAATTAATTAATGAATTAATTATTAATTTAATCATCATTCCTTGTGTGATTAAACTATAATTTAAATATTATTTACTGTTTAAAATATAAGCAAATGAGAAATTCACTCATTATTTTACAAAAGTACAAAATTATAGTACGAACACTCGACCAATGTTTAAACAAGCGCCAGAGCTCTCCTAACAGACGGATTTGAATTTTTCAAAAAAAGTTAGAAAGCTTGAGAGCCCTTCTATACGTGATTAAATGTTCAAGTATCTAAGGGCCTTGGTTTTTGCTGTGCAAAATTTTGAAAATTTGAAATTTTTTTTTCAAAATCTGGATTGCAAAATTATTATGCAAAATCTATCGAACCGATTTTGATGAAATTTGGTGTGATGATTCTACATAATATGAAGTTTTATTGAACCAAGTATGAAGATCCTATGCCCAATTTAAAGACCCCAAAAAAATTCCCTAAAATGTATTGTTTTTTAACCCCATTTTTGACGATTTTTTCGACTTTTACAATAATAGTCATGATTCATTCGATTTGTAACTAGTCATAATTTGTAAAATTTAATTACAAACATTTTTTTCCTTTTCCATTTTCGCCTAAAATCAACTCTTGAAAAGATACATAATTAAATAGGAAAAAAAATATGACATTTTCCAATTTTTTTAACATATTGTGCCGCCAAAAGTTAAGCCCACGTTTTTTTTATGCGCATAAAAAAATTTTCATTTCTAGTGATATTAGAAAGCCAAAAAGCCAAAAATCTCCGTGGATATACGATTCAAAGCAAAACAGATACCGCCTAGTCTATTAGATTTATTACTGGTCTTCTTTGACTATGATTTAAAGTTAATTGAAGCACTACAAGGTGTTCATTGGGGATGACTCACCCCTAAAATTGTACGGAACTTCTTTTTCATTGACCAAATTGAAAAATAGTAATGATAATTCACAGCAGAATTTAATTTAAAATCTTTTCTACTATTGTTAAATATCAAAAAACTTTATGGTTTTAAAGAAAAACCGTATTAACTGACACAAGATTTTTACAGTGTTCATTAGAAAATAATCAAAGTCAGTAGTAGGCAATGAATATAGGTATCTTTCAAACTTGTCATAGTAATAAAATTATTTTATTTAAATAATTCTTCCACATTTCTACAGTTTCATTCGCAGAAATCCAGCACAGGTAGCATATCAACTTGTTCGCTAAATGTAAAGTTTCCAGCCAATTTCAGCCATAATCAGAGGCAATTGTTTGTTAATTGTTAAAGTTTTTTGATATTTAACAATAGTAGAAAAGATTTTAAATTAAATTCTGCTGTGAATTAACATTATTATTTTTCAATTCGGTCAATGAAAAAAAAGTTCCGTACAATTTTAGGGGTGAGTCATCCCCAATGAACACCTTGTAGTGCTTCAATTAACTTTAAATCATAGTCAAAGAAGACCAGTAATAAACCTAAATCATGTCATCAAATTTGGTTCTTCTGCGGTAAAGTGTTGAAGAGATATTATTTTTTTTCGAAATTTAAGGCCCCAATTTGGGGGCTAATAACTTCTCAGGGGTGCAACTTTGTATATAGGTAAGTTTGGTTAAATTACAATATTTTGGACACCCCTATATGCACCTGCCCTGTGTCGGTTCTTATGCGGAACACCCTGTCTATCTCGATTTATTCTTTAAAGTTTTTCTGTACTTTTTTATTAGTCACCACCAACACATTTTTAATAAAAATCTGATTTAATTGTCATAAAAAATTTGATATAGTTACAATAAATAACGAAATTATACTCGTGGAATATAAAATCTTGTAAATTAATGTTCTTTTATGAAAATTATTTCAAAGCCTCCATAAATGATTATATGCCACGTGAGCAGTAATTTTGTTTGGAACTGTGATTTTATTTCCTTCTCATTGGCAATAAAATTTTTGTAAAATTAAAGATTATTAAAACAGTAAAGTCAAGATTACGCTAAAACAAAACATTCTGTTTTGACTGATGAGTTGCGTAATTTTTCACGACATTTTGTTCAACTAATAAGCAATCACATTATTTCAAGCGTAGACCTAACGATTTGTCATTGTTGCAAATGAATCATTGATACTGATTTAAGGATTTTTAGTTGGCAATGCCCATCGTGCAATGTTGCTTGCCTACGGTCACGTGGCTTATAATCATTTATGAAAACCCGTAGAAATGATAACATTAGGTGCTTGGCGATAAAAAATTGCCAATTGCCGACACTGCTGATCTCTCTGACCTACCTGGACAATATACCAGATTATTCCTTTATATCTAGAAATAAAAAAATAATGTATCGATTTTTCCACCAGGTTCCATAATAAGTACAGTAAATGAAGTTATGACAGTCAAGAGGATGCTTCAACTTCGGATTCACCCTTTGAGCCCGCTGGAACTGGTAAATGTTTTGTGCAAACGAACGCCTATTTATAAAGAAGAAGAAGAAGCGCTTGAACAGTGGTGGAGCAAAGTTCCTTTAGTAAGAAGACGCGCTAGGGCAGTGGAGATGTTGTTGGAAGAACAAGCCGAAATGCAAGCTAAACAGGCAGAAGCAAAAACCAAGAAAAAATAATTTACTTTAGCCAGTTTTTCTTAAACGAGATTATAAAAAAATAAGTTCATTTCATATAATTCATGATATTTATTTGTTGTTGTTAACTACAGGATACAATACGAATCCTGTACCAAATTTCCTTTATTTAACCCAATTAATACACAACATGTTATAAACTTTGACGACTTTGATATTTCAAAATAACAAAATGTAGTCAAACCTTCAAAAACTCTCCCAGGGTATTGACACGGCCATCTTATACTTTTCTAAAGTTTTTAAGATCAATATGGAACTATACCTAACTCTCTAAACATTCTAGAACCATCATGGAAATTAGTAAGTGAATAACTGTATAACAAAGTACAATAGGGTTATTTTTCGTTAATTAATAAACTCGACAGATAATTGCCAAACCATTTTTTTAAGCAATTAATTTGAGTCCAATATGATAGCTTTTTTAACCTCATTGCCAATAACAAGTTCATTATTATTTGTATAGATATGCGCATCGCATTATTAATACTACTTATGTTTGCTTTTCAGACACAGGAAATGGAAAATACAATCGTGTGTCTTTTACATAAAAATAACTTAAAGTGACTGAAATAAGTTTCAAAATTGAGTGTATAGGGAGCACATATAAAGAAGGGGCCCTAAAATAGACCCTTGGGGCTCTCGGAACCTTGACTTTCTCATCGATTTGTCTATAAGACCTAAAAAGCGCAGAATGACAAGCAATATATCATAACGCTTTACTAAAATTTAATAAAACAACTTGTGGAGCAACTTTTCCAGGGTCTGTTTCAGTAATGTCTCAGCAGTTAAATAACTATGATACGTTCGAGATCGCGACTGATAAATGGTCAATAACTGATTATTATTAACATATTTTGATGAAACTGATAATAAAAATATTGAAAATCAAATAGACCTGAGAAGTTCCAATGAATATACAGGGTGTCCTGTTCATGTTTCAAAAAAACTTGTGTGCTAGTTCCTCATGGGAAAATAAAAGGGGTAGTTCATGTAGACGCCCAGTTTTCGAGATACAGTGTGTTGAAGTTGTTCTTTCCAAATGATTTTCCTTAATTATCTTTAAATCGGCTAAAGATAAAAATGTCAAAATTTGTACACGAGCAAACATCAATTATATGTCAAGAATAATGTGCAAACGGTTTCTTTCTGAAATGCAATGTCGCCGATACAAGTAGGTAATTGGAAGGGTACAATCGAAAAAAAATATGTTAAAAGTAAAAATTTATTACATTTCTAAATGGTTCTGTAAACTCTAAAGCATACTACAAAAAAAATGTGTACTTGTCGAAATTCGGTAGCATGTACCATTTTCGAGAAAAATGAAGTTGCATAGAAGGAAATGGGGGACAATTTCAGTATCTACTGTAGTATTTCGAGTTTGCACATTTATTTAATTGTGCAGCTGTTTTGTTCTGTATGTCTCCGAGTCTGTTTCCTAGTATTTTTCTGTTCTTATCACTTTTTTTAAGCATTCATGTCCATCAATAATTCAGTCCATTCAACAATTGTTTATTTTAGTAATGGTAGTGTAGCAGTTTACAAAATCTAAAATTAGTTAATAATAGATAATTAATTACCATAATCTGTTTATTTTAATAAACTTAACTGTTTAACGTGATACGTAATTAACTGTTTCATGTGATACGTAAGAAATTAAAATTATAGACTTAAATGCAAATACTGTTGGTAGCTAAATGTCTTCATTCATTCAATGGTAAGGTCCTCTTTCAATTTAATATTTTGTTAATGTACTTGTGCCGCTTTATGTGAGCAAAAAAAATGCAACTTCATTTTTCTCGAAAATGGTACATGCTACCATTGTATAAGTAAATATTTACTTATACAATGATGCTACCGAATTTCGACAAGTACACCTTTTTTTTTGTAGTATCCTTTAGAGTTTACAGAACCGTTTAGAAATGTAATAAATTTCTATTTTTAACATATTTTTTCTACCCGTTCAATTATCTGTATCGGCGACACTGATTTTCAGAAAGAAATCGTTTGAACATTATTCTTAATGCATAGTTGATGTTTACTCGTGTACAAATTTTGACATTTTTATCTTTAGCCGATTTAAAGATAATTAAGGAAAACCATTTGGAAAGTAACAACTTCAACACACTGTATCTCGAAAACAGGGTGTCTAAGAAACAAACTTTACATGAACTACCCCTTTTATTTCCTCATGAGGAACTTGCGCACCAGCTTTTTTTAAACATGAACAGGACACCCTGTATAAAATCAAGCGAATGCTTGCTATAATTACTAACTTGTAATACCGAAGTTACAAAGTAATTGTTTCCAAGTATAACTTTAAATTAGAAATTAGAAACATTGTTGAAACATATTTACTAATTTGAGGTGGACATTTCTGCGTCTTATTTTTATATTAACAGTTAATCTGCAGTTATAAAAATGGATAGGGGAAACTAGAGTCGAAAATTAACACGGGACAAAAGTGTCGTTGCAAAATATCGGGAAAATTAACAATTTTACGACTTAGTTTTTACTCATGGTTTGTGTTAGGCTTTGGAAGCAAATTTGTTATTTTTATTACTAGTCTAACCTATATTCTATGTTGATTATATAGTCTTAATAAATGATTGCAAGACGCGTTGTTTTGATTGTTAAAAATAACTTATTATTTGTTTAGAATCTTGGATTTTATTTGTAAATTTGTTCATATATTTTAATTTACAGGGTGACTTCAGTTCAAATACAGAAACTGCAGGACTAGACTCAACACCAAAAAAATAAGTAGACTTTGGTCTATAAACTTTTTTCCTGCGCGACTCGGTATTCGAAATACAGGGTATTAAAGTTTACAAAAAATATATTTTTTTTCTGCCATATCTTCATAATGCGCTGACGGAATGGAATGAAATATGCTACTGCGTATTTTTTTTTAAACTTGAACACCCTGTATCTCGAATACCACGCCCCCAAGAAAAAAGTTTATAGAGCAAACTGTACTTATTTTTTGGTAACTAGTCTATTCCTGCAGTTTGTGTATTTAAAGTGAAATCACCCTGTATGTTAAACGCATTTTTTATGTACATCGTAATTATGTATTTCATTTGGACTACAACCATTCCTAAGGGTGGGGATAAAAGAAACAAAGTACGAGTAAAACAATTATCAATTATCTTCCATATAATTTTCTTTCAATTTTTCTATTATCAAACAAAATCCAAACAGATTGTCTACCTTTTAATCCAAAGGAAGTCTAAAAATAATATATGACCTTAGCAACAAAAATATTGCTTTCATGTCTGCTATCCTCCCTACGCAAAACGGTTTGATGTCATAGGATCCTCGAACTACAATGGAATTATGAATATATGTTTTTAATTTGCCTATATATTATTAACTGTGACTATGACTATGACTTGACTATAAAAATTTCTCCATTGGCTATTTCTTATCTTAAATTATAAAAAACTGCTGCGTAAATTTCAATATTATCAAGGTTATTATAAATTGTGTTGTATCATTTATTCATCCACCTAAAAATGTCAATTCATTAAATTTTTTTACTGTTTTAATTGAAATATTCATGGTGCTTCATTTTTTTACGGATAATCATATTTTATAAATATTTTGATCTGCATGCAGTGTGTTTTTAAATGCGTCAATAATCACAATTTTTTTGGAAGAAACGGCAAAGAAACAAAAACGATTTTTAAAGAGTTTTTTTGGAGAAAATAGTGTTTTTTTTTTTGTGAAGTTGTTCTTTTTTGGTATGAACATATGATTTGAGCATTTTCGTTCAGAACTATTTAAACTAATATGTACTTAAAAAATTTACTATGGTGGTTAAATTTTTAATGGTATGCATATGTCAGCTAAATTAGAAAAAAAAATTTGATATTATTTAAAATAAATTACAAGAAAACCATGAGCACAACGATTCCATAAAAAAACGAGAATATGAAAAATCAAAAATTTACGAATAAAAAATCAAAATATACACCTGTACTTAAAATACTTTCTTCATTACCGTCAATTCGATTAGAATTTCGTCAGTACATACAATTAAATTTTACGTATACATTTGACGTACATACAAACTATGTAATAACTCTGCATTGCGGAATTACAATTACTGTTTGTTATTATTTCAACAGCTATATTATGCATCCTACAGATGGAGTGGGACATAACAATAATAAATGTACTCTGTAGTGGTTTTTTTAAAAATTAACAATTTTTAATTAAAAAACCTGTGTTTTCCATTAAAATTACTTCTTGGGTGAACTTTGGGAAAGAATTTTGAATTAAAGTCATACATATTGTTCATTAATTATACGTAAAAATAATAAATGATTTCTTATTAATCTAGTTACATAAATAAACACATAGGCATGTCGTACGAAAATGAATCGCGAGAGGCTGTTATCAGTGCATTAATTAAAATTCTGCTGACATTGTTACGACCTTAATTTAACTTTTGATATCATTTTATGTCTAAAGGTTGAATATAAATTTGCCACACGTTCAACTGTTCCGAACTTGATCCATGAAATTTAGATGATAAAACAGGATAAGCAATAGATCTCGCTAATAAAATTGTTTAGATTATCTAAGTATAATTAGAAACCAATAAAATAGTTACGAGTTTTGTTAGACGTATGATGTAAAATGTATTTACAATAACATGTTCGGTTATATTTAAAATCGGTATACATAAATTATATGGAAGAAAAAGATAATGCGTCTAGAGCAAAATTAGTGGAATACTTTAAATATGTACCGAGCTAAATATCAAAGCAAAGAAAATGTCTTTTGTCAGTCTATTATGTCATAAATTGAGAAGGTTATTTCTTGGATCACTTCAAACCAGTAGTTCCCAACTTTTGAGAGATGGGAGGCTGTTAAAACAAAACTTGGTTCTTCTGAAACCATGTATTATATAATTATAAAAACACAATTTAATATAAAACTGTTATTGCAAAGCAACACAAACGTTCTTAAAAACA